TATTATATAGTAATGAATCTATCAGAATTTATATTTCATGTTTTGACTGCGAATGTCACGTCCGTAACGCTGGAATTGCTCTAATATTTCTATCATGAGTTAAACCAAACTTATTTTGACAGGTTGTCCTGAAGATCTTTTAGTTTCACTTTCAGTTTGCATTTGGCGGTAGTATTGAGACGAAGACCCTACTTTATGACACACTCCATATGAAACACTAAGAAAGAGGGAGAAGGAAAGAAAGAGATAGATGAGAAGAAATAGATATTTACGATATCCGTGCGCAAAGATGTTGTATTGAACGCCTCCTTCAGATCACCGGGACGTCGAGGATTTAAACTGTGAAATGACAGGATATAAAACCATTCAAATCTTTAGCCATCGTTCGCGAGCAATATTTAGTAGGCCTAATACTTCTGAATCTAGCTACATAAGAGACTGACGTGCCTTTCCTTCTCCAGCGAAACCCAGCCGTGGTTTACATCACATGATAAATTGCCCCTGCTAAAAGGCTTCTTCATGTTTTCTGGCAAACAGAAGAACTTCTTTGAAACACCCATGACTTTTTCCACCTTAAACAGAAATGAACATTAGTCAGCTACAAACAATATAACTATTTGTAAGAAACAGGCATGTTTAAACAAATGACAAACCTCGTCCTGGTGTATGCCCGTGTTTTTCAGATAAACAAATCCCACCTCACTAAAGGCCTTTCTTATTTCGTCACTTAACTTTTCCAACCTATCATCTGACACATTGGTCTTTCCCAGTTCGTAGACATTGAAATCCACGACAGGTATCTCCATACTGATTTATTTTACCTTGAGACAGCAAATGTCAAAGAATTACTTTAAAGTTCTTTCCGAAATCGGGAAGAAAATACCCCAAGAATCTTCGTTTTGTTTATCAGTACAGCACAGCCCGTTATAAGGGTTGTGCGCAACAAAATATTCTTCTTCTTCTTCTTCTTCTTGGTCGTCGTCTTCTTTGACGTTTTATGGTTGTTGGCAAACCCGCTTTTGGTGCATATTCCGCCGCCTATGTGAAGGAGTGTGTTGATGTTGAGGGGAAAAAAACTTAATTTGACAAATTAAATTAAAGTGTCAAACCAAACAAATGAAACCCCCGTTTCAGCACTGGTCTTTCACACCTTAGATCTGAAAAGACTCCAGAAATGGGCGTGTAAAGCTGTGGAAATGTGAAGAGGGGAGAAAACAACCAATAACACAGACCTGCAACACACTCATTATCCAGACAAATGATTATTAAAATATATTTAAAACAGAAACAATAAAGGCAGTTAATTTTTGCTTACTCTTCTTTGAATTTTCGGTCTAAGTTTGCTGTGTATTACAATAATCCGTTGTGGCATTGCCAGTGGCGCAAAAACGGGGTATGCGGTAGGATATGCAGTGCATGGGGGGCGCCATTTTGCCAAAATCATTCTGTGAAAATCTTCTTTAATAAAAATGTAATAAATAATCAAAAGCTTAGTTATTAAAAAACATTGCAAAAATTTTATTTAACGATTTTTAGCATTTTAATGAGTTCAAAAATGTATTTATTAAAAACTTATTAAGACGCGGAACGACCACAACAAACGGGAGACTTTTCAGACGCGCACTTCAGCTTGCCCTCTGCACCAGAGCGCAGAAAAGGTAAGCTACAGGTGCCAAATGAGCTTCAGTAGAACAACAGGGAACTGCG